TAATTTAGCATTGGATCAGACTCTGGATCGTTCCCAAACCGCCACGCTTCAACCTCCTTCTAGACGGAGCCGTAAATTGGCTCAACTTTTATATCGCTATGATCTTATTGATGCATGGAGGGAGGCTAATCCTACTTCCCGAGACTACTCCCACTACTCCAGGGCTCATGATAGTTATTCTCGCATTGACCATATTTTTCTTCATACATATTCACTCCCCAAACTTGTCACTGCTAAAATCTTTTCCACGCCCTGGTCTGACCACGACCCAGTTTCTATCACCTTTTCGTCCGAGACTCTTGGTAAGACGGCTTTTCATTGGCGTCTTAATGACTCTATTTTGGGTAATCCATCTCATTGTCGGGAAATTTCATCGCACCTACAAATGTTTTTTGATTTTAATAAAGCAGAGGACACGAACCCGGCGATTAATTGGGCAGCTCATAAGGCCTCAGTCAGGGGCTATATTATTCAACTCTCTTCTCGTTTAAAAAAAGCCCGAACTGACCTACTTGCTACTAAAACTCAGTTATATATTGACCTGGTTGCTCAACATAAACAACATCCCAGTTCTGATTTGTTACTTAAACTTGACCAGGCCCGACTGGAACTTAATTTATGTCTTACTACCACTGCGGATAAACAACTTCGTTGGTCTAATCATAAATTCTTTACGTGGAGGGACAGACCTGGCACCTTGTTGGCACGCAAGCTGACTCCTAGACACTCCCAGACGGCCCTCCCCAAGCTCAGACTGGACAATGGTTCGTTATCCCAGGACCCGGGTAAGATCCTCCACAAATTTCAGTCTTTTTACTCTCAGCTTTATAGTTCGCCCACGGGGGGCTGTTCTTCTTCCTCTCTGGAGGCTTTTTTGGAGTCTATCTCCTTTTCCCCCTCCTCCAGGAGGCACATAGGGAGCTAATGGAACAACCTATCTCCTGTGAAGAGGTTGGGAATGCGGTGAAATCCCTGGCCTCTCACAAGGCCCCGGGACCGGATGGTCTTCCTAATACTTACTATAAAGCTTTCCCGGACATTCTGATACCCCATATGGCCCTGTACTTTAATTATTTGCGGGAGGGGGGTGTGGTTCTCCCAGAGGAAAATAAGGCATTCATTAGTGTCATTCCCAAGCCTTTCAAGGATGCCGCTATGGTCTCCAATTACCGGCCTATTTCTTTAATTAATTGTGATTTAAAGATTCTTACTAAAATCCTGGCCTTACGGCTCCATAACTTCTTGGCCTTATACATTCATGATGACCAATCAGGATTCATAAGTGGTCGACAAACATCGGACCAAATTAGGCGGACTATAGCTTTGCTGTCAGCTGTGCAGTCCAATTGGGATGGATCGTCGCAAAGGGATATTTTTTCTACTGTCACTGGATATTCAGAAGGCATTCGACAGTCTGTCCTGGGATTATTTGTTTAAAACGTTGGACAGGTTTGGGTTTGGCCCTTATTTTACGACGTTGTTGCGGGCCCTCTATTCTACCCCGTCAGCTCAGGTATCCATTCGTGGACATAAATCAGTTCCTTTTTCGATAGAGCGAGGAACTAGACAGGGATGTCCTCTTTCTCCGTTGCTCTTTGCATTGGCGATGGAACCTCTTGCGATTGCTATTCGCGCTGATTCCTCTATATCGGGTGTTATCTGTGGTCAAAGGGTTCATAAATGTGCCCTATTTGCCGATGATGTTCTTATGTATATATCTGATCCTCGAACGTCTCTACCTGGTTTCTTCCATCTGTTTCATCGTTTTTCTGAGGTCTCCGGTCTTACGCTCAACTCCTCTAAAACTGTTGCTTTGAATATCTCTTTACCCGATTCAGAGGTTCGCTACTGCCGGGAAAACTTTGCTTTTCAGTGGGCTCCTGGTTCTCTCCCCTATCTGGGGATTCTTCTTACGAAATCTGTATCGACGCTATACCAGGCCAACTATATCCCGCTTTTCAAGCGACTTAAGAATGACTTATTAGCCTGGCAGGATCTTTCTCTTTCCTGGTTCGGTAGAATTAATTCTATTAAAATGACCTTCCTACCTAGATTATTATACTATTTTAGGACGTTACCAATTCTGATTCCCAAACGAGAACTAGTCTTCCTGCAGGCTGCAGTCTCCAGATTTGTTTGGAGGGGAAAGCGCCCTAGGCTGAACAAATCTACCTTGTTTTCTTTGAAGAGGCATGGTGGTTTGGGACTCCCTAATCTTTTCGCATATTTTCAGGCGGCCCAAATAGCACAACTATCTTGTACTACGGCCAGGGGATATGTCCCCCAATGGGTTGGGATTGAGGCTCTTTCGTGCCGTCCATATGCTATTGGTACTCTCATGTGGCTTCCCAATAGATTGCGCCCTCCTATTTTGTGTCCTACTCTATCTTATTCATTGTCAGTGTGGGATAGATGGCGAGCTCGTAAACCTTTTTTTTCTCTCCGCATACTCCGTTGGCTCCGGTGTTTGGTAATCCTGAGTTTGTTCCGGGTTTGTCTTTCGCGGGGTTCCAATGGTGGATTAATAAGGGTTTGCTACGTATTGGTGATTATTTAGATGGGGTTCGCCCTCGGTCTCGTCAGTATTTTGTGAATTTTTGTGGGATGCCTCGTGGAGAGATATTTCGTTACCATCAACTTCGCTCTTTTATTGATAGCAAACTTAGACTACTCACAGAACCTTGTGCGCTTACTTCCCTCGAGGTCTCCTGTGGGGCGAGTGGGGTAATGCGGGGTCGCTTGTCCATTGTTTATGCTTTGTTGGTTGATCCTCTAACAAAATTGTCTTACATGACTTTATGGGAGCGGGATTTAAATAGTTCATTGGATTTGGATACCTGGCGGACGGCGGCCCATGCCTTATCGAAGATTTCGATTAACACTGATCTTGTTGAATCTAATTACAAGACGACGCTACTTCGGTGGTATTTGGTCCCTGCTCGCCTAGCCATTATGTATCCTTCCGTTTCTTCTGCCTGTTTCCGACGCTGTGGTCAAGAGGGTACTATGTTCCATGTCTGGTGGAAATGCCCAGTCGTGAGTAGGTTCTGGATCCGCATATTTAATTTTCTTTACTCAGTGACAGGAATTAATATCCGTAGATCGCCGGAAGTAGCCTTGTTTAATATACTACCCTCTGATGTTCCCAAAAGATCGATTAAAATAATTGTATATATCTTATTGGCGGCTCGCATTACTATAGCTAGGAGTTGGAAGCAATCTTTGATCCCGCTGGATAGGGTGAAACAAAAACTGAACTGGATAATGGTTAATGATAAACTGACGAGTATCGTCTCTGATGATGTGTCCAGATTTGAGAGGACTTGGGATCCTTGGATTGCTTATATTACTGTATCGTGAGTGTCTGGCAGCTGACCCCCCCCCCCCCCCCTCCTTTCTCTATTTTTCCTCTTTTTTTTCTCTTTTCCTGCTATTTGTTAAACATTTTTATTTTTCTTTGTTATTTTTGGTCTATTTTGCTATAATTGTTGTTTATTGATCTTTGAAACTTGTATATTTTGATGGCTTTGACTTTTTTCATGTGCATTGTAATGCTATTATCTGCTAAATTTCTTTTTTTTTTTTTTTTTTTTTTTTTTCCTACCAGTATTATGTTTATGATTCTGAATCTGGTTCCATTTTGTTGGTGGGCCCTTTCTTTTTTTTTTTCTTTTATTGTTAGCCATCTTGTTTTAATATGTTTAGTTCTCAATAAAAATATTGAAATTTTCCCTTCACTCCCCGTCCCATAGAAACTACATGAAGCAGGAGGAAATCTCTCTAAAGTGAAGGAAATGCCTTCAAAGACAGTTGCCACTAGAACAAGCATCCCCACTGAAATATTTCCACTCTACCCACGGTTCTAGTGGCAATTTTTTTTCTTGTTGTTTATTTTTCTTCACTGCCAGTCCCAGTGACAATGGTCACCCTCACAAAACCGAGCTAGTCAATCAGAGGAAGCTTTGTATTAATTCACAGAATGCAAAACTGCCTATGAATAGCTGAGCACTGCTCAGCCCAATTCTGTTTTGTTCCAGGTGTGAGATGGGAAATCACTGTCTCACAGCCGGAACCCAGCACTGTGTACTGTATTTAGCTGAAGCTGCATACAGTACATACAGCACTGAGAGCCGCAGCAGTTACTGAAAAAAATAGTTTGTTTGGACCAGCTTGGTTGGTATTTAAAGTAACAGGAATCATGGAGATCGGCTTTAAGTTTGCTGTGGCCATGAAACAAAGCATCATGACAGCGGTATATGTACAGTCTCCTCTAGCTTCCATGTTAGGCTTTCAGAGGCCAGTCAAGAAGAGAGGGAGGAGGTGGAAAAATGCACCCGAACTACCAGTTTTTACCCCCCATGTGAACAGTAAAAGGTTAAACATGACATATACTACACAAACTTTGACCAGTGTCACATGAGAACTGAATGATGCTGCCACTGTCATAGAGATCTATGATTAAACCCAGTAAGAGGCTCAAATGCATTTGAGTGGGAGGATCCAGGTGGGGATCTTTGGTCTGTCAGTTTTAAACAAAGTTTATCAACATGCTGAATTATTAAGTTCTATATTTTAACTCATGTTAATTATATCTGTATACCATTTTAAAAGGCTATACACTCATTTTAAGGAAAAACCTATCCATCTTCTGTTAATGACCTTCCAGGGTCCTTTTGCAAATCCTTACAAGCAACAGATACCTTCTGCTGTCTAAAGTATCCAGTACACTGAAATCTGTTTATTAAAATGGAGCTCCAACCCAAACATCTGTTAAGGGAAATAGTTTGAATTTTCATTTCTGTCTGTGTTCCCACTAAGGAGATTTATCCTTACATTCTGTCTCTGTAGTCCTGTCTCCGAGTAGAAATCCTGCAAGACACTGATAAAATTCACACAAGTTTCTAATCCTAGCCACTTCATGCAAAACTAAAACATAGAAATAAAAAAAAATGAGAAAAATGTTAATATTACCCATCTGTGGTCAAAGCACTGATGAGGGAGTGCCAAGCAGTGCCATTCCTGGCCCGGTTAATGGCTTCCAAATTGTCTTCAAAGATTTTCTTTCTATTCTGCACTTCTCTCAAGATGCGCTTTGCATCCTCAAACCTTGACTTTGGTAGCTTCACAGCTGACTGACGAAAGGAATGTGGTGCAAATACAGGTGCAGAGGTCATGATGGATGATACTCTTGGCTAAAGGCAAAACAGATGTTGGCATTTCACATATTTTTCATCATGGTTACAAAAAAATTAAAACCCGCTACGTGGAAAGTCAGTACAGACTGTGCATCATTGGACAGCAAAATTTAAAGAGAACGGATTTCCCCTTCTTTTTTTTTTTTTCAACATTTTCCTATTAACGCCTACAAAAAGAAAATATAAATATGGACAGAAAGCCAATAACCAAAGTGCACATAAATAAAATCTGGTTTTAGTTTCTCCCATTATGCAAGGAGTACAACAACAGTGCAATACAAATCTCCCCACATCACCAAAGTTTGTGAGAGTAATTAAATTACAAAGTTGATCAGGACCTACAAGGTATGAACTGACACGCTGTAAGCAGGACAAAGCAGAAGGGTGCACAGAATGAAGAATGAGTAGAAAACTCAGGATAAAAGTTCCCTTTACCAGAGACTACAGAGGAGGTGGAAACCTACCTGCATGAATGAAGATGTAAGGGAGGCATCCAATGCAAAAGGATGGAATGTGCCAATGCAAGGAATATCTGAGAGGCGATATCCATGGCAGGGATGTCTTGCAGTCGTAGGCTGAGAAGGAAAGTGGAGCAAGGCAGACAAGTGCTAAAAGCTACTATAGACCATAGTTGGAGAGGAAAAGTAGCCACATAAGGAACCCCGGGTACAGGGATTCAAAACTTTTTCTTTTTCTCCATCCCTGCTTATGTTTTTCTGCGGGTCACGCATAGGGCAGGCCATTCAAGTGAATGCACGACAAAACAACACCAAAGAAGCTTTGATGCTATGATGATATTATATGCAACCAGAGTCTGTGCAAAACAATCCCAAAAGAAAAGGAAAGTCCTATAAAAATCTTCAATAATCATGTTTCCCAGTGTGCTCTATCCACAGTGCATATCCTCCACCACTATGCACTCACCAGAAGGCTAATGTTCAATAGCCTAGTAAAATGACCCAGTCACAGGGAACCTCCATAGATCGCTCCCCAATAGGGATGAAAATACAGCCAGACAGAATCCTACTAAAAACTGCTCACCACACGGAGCCCAAGGAATAGTATATAGTATAGTATTTAATGATTAAAAGATCAATATTGAAACCAACTATAAAGATTTTTTTCCACCTGGACGCAAAAATTTGGGGTTGGACTTACTAAGATGGCCGTCAATCCGGACCTTGGGAGCGGCGGTGTGACGTCAGCACATAAAGCTCCACCCAACGTGTGTTGTACACACTCCTACTGCTGACATACATACATACACTCCTTAAATAGCCTGCAGGCACGCCACAGGATGTATCAATGACGTGCATCATTTTGTTGTGGACCAAAAATGCCATATTACTGAGCACCAACTAGAAGACGCTATATTCTTGTGGACCAGAAAAGCCATATTAAGCACTGTAAAGTGTGAGAAATCTGCACTACATAAAGATCCACCATCTTTTCATAATCCACAGAAAGAAAAGAATAACATGATTGCTTATTCTTAGTTTATGCGCTGCACTATCCTGGTCTATTTTGAATATTGGGTTTGCCTCTAAGAGCTCACTGTTTTCTTCTGATTTTTTTTTTTTGTCAGTAGTTTGGGTAAAGCGTAGACAAGAATATTTTGCTGAAGTAGAGTATCAGGAAGGGACCCTGACGTATAGACAATAAAAATTCAAGGGAAATAAAATTTCTGGTGGGTTGGATTATATAGGTATACTAGGGAGCAGACCCACTGAAGCTTTTGCCATTGTTCAATCAGCTGAAGGTAGCGACATATAACCCAATATAATGGAACTCCTGTGTCGTGTGTACTGTATGATAAAGATGATGAATAATAATGCATAACAGACATACCTTCAAATCTTCAGATTGCGATGTCCATTGCTTTGCATCCTTAATAAACCAAAATAAAAATGTCCTTTAGTGACAAAAAAAACGATTTTGCTTTTTCAGAATAAAGACATTGATTTAAATATATTTATTGACATTAAAATTGACACTAAACACTGGTAAATAAAAACACACACACACACAGCTCAAAAATATATTAAAGGAAACCTTTTTAATTAGAGTATAGCATCAAGTCAATTAAGCTCCTGGGATATTGATCTGGTCAGTTAACTAGTTGCCGACCGCAGATAGCCGAATGACGGCTTCACTGTGGCCGGCCAGTTCTGGGTGGACGTCATATGACGTCCCCCCAGAATGCGCTCTCCTGCACGCCCCAGAGGGCGCGCACCCGGCGATCTCCGTGATCGCTGTGTCCTACGGACACAGCTGATCACGAGATGTGGTAAAAGGCCAATCATACCGGCCTTTTACCACGTGATCAGCGGTGTCCAATGACACGCTGATCACAGGGAAAAGCAAGTGCCGGTTCTCGGCTGCACTTTCCTCACGCTGTCAGATCGTGAGGAAAGTACTGCCGAGAACCGGCAGTTGTCAGAGCGAGGATCGGCACCGATCATCAGGGCACTGATGATCAGTGCCCTGATGATCGGTGCCCAGCAGTGCCACCCACAAGATCCGCCCACTAGCTCCGCCCACCTGTGCCCAGCAGTGCACCCACCTGTGCCCAGCAGTGCACCCACCTGTGCCACTCTGCAGTGTCACACACCTGTGCCCAGAAGTGCCACCCACCTGTGCCCAGAAGTGCCACCCACCTGTGCCCACCCACCTGTGCCCACCAGTGCCACCCACCTGTGCCCACCAGTGCCACCCACCTGTGCCCACCCACCAGTGCTGCCCACCAGTGCCACCCACCAGTGCAGCCCAGCAGTGCTGCCAGTCAGTGCCACCAGTCAGTGCCCAGCAGTGATGCCAGTCAGTGCCATCTATCAGTACCCATCATCAGTGTCACCTATCAGTGCCGCCTATCAGTGCTGCATATTAGTGCCGCCTATCCGTGACACCTCATTAGTGCTGCCTATCAGTGCCGCCTATCCGTGCCACCTCATTAGTACTGCCTATCAGTGCCCTTTAGTGCTGCCTATCAGTGCCCATCAGTGCCGCCTATCAGTGCCCATCAGTGCTGCCTCATCAACATCAGTGAAGGAGAAAAATTACCTGTTTGAAAAATTTTATAATAGAAACAAAGAAACTTTTTTTTTTTCAAATTTTTTGCACTTTTTTAATTTATAGCGCAAAAAGTAAAGCGCCCAGTGGCGATTAAATACCACCAAAGAAAGCTCTATTTGTGAGAAAAAAATGATCAAAATTTCATATGGGTACAATGTTGCATGACCGCGCAATTGTCAATCAAAGTGCGGCAGGGCTGAAAGCTGAAAATTGGCCTGGTAAGGAAGGGGGTATAAGTGCCTGGTAGGCAAGTGGTTAAGAAGCAGAGGGGTTGGTAATCAGATTCAGCTGCTTTGGTGTTATTGAAATTAACAACAGGTGCACTACATGAGCAACAATGAAACAACCCCCAAAGCAGGAATGGTTTTACAGGTGCAGGACACATTTCACTAGTTTTGCATTTGGCTAGGGTCAGTGCCACTACTGGTACCATGAGGTGATACGTGGACCCTACAGAGGTTGCACAGGCAAGTTCAACTCCTCCAGGATGGAACATCAATACGTGCCATTGCCAGAAGGTTTGCTGTGTCTCCCAGCACAGTCTTAAGAGCATGGAGGAGATTCCAGGAGACAGACACTTACTCTAGGAGAGCTGGACAGGGCCGTAGAAGGTCCTTAACCCATCAGCAGGACCGATATTTGCTCCTTTATGCAAGGAGGAACAGGATAAGCACTGCCAGAGCCCTACAAAATTACCTCCAGCAGGCCACTGGTGTGAATGTCGCTGACCAAACAATCAGAAAGACTTCATGAGGGTGGCCTGAGGGCCCAACGTCCTCCAATGGGAACTGTGCTCACTGTCCAGAACCAAAGAGCTCGATTGGCATTTGCCATTGAACACCAGAATTGGCAGGTCTGCCACAGATGAGAGCAGATTCACCCTGACAGACATGAAAGGGTCTGGAGAAGCCATGGAGAAATTTATGCTACCTGCAACATCGTTCAGCATGACCATTTTGTTGGCGGGTCGCACATACCTCTACAGGCTAGACAATAGCACCCTGACTACTATTAGGTATCAAGATGAAATCCTTGGACCCATTGTCAGAACCTACGCTGCTGCAGTGGGTGTTGGGTTCCTCTTGGTGCACGACAATGCCTGGCCTCAAGTGGCGAGAGTATGCAGGCAATTCCTGGAGAATTAAGGAAACTGATACCATTAAATGGCCTCCATGTTCGCCTGACTTAAATCCAATAGAACACCTCCGGGATTTCAGGTTTCAGTCCATCTGATGCCGCCCGGTTGCACCTCAGACTGTCCAGGAGCTCAGTGATACCTTGGTCCAGATCTGGGAGGAAATACTCCAGGACAACATCCGTCGTTTCATTAAGAGCATGCCCGATGTTGTCAGGCAAGCATACAAGCATGTGGGGGCCATACAAACTACAGAGTACCATTTTGAGTTGCTGCAATGAAATTTCAGCAAAACGCACTATCCTGCTGCATCATTTTTTCACTTTGATTTTCAGGGTGTCTTTGAATTCAGTCCTCTGTAGGTTGATAATTTTTATTTCCATCAAACGATGGGGCATCCTTACCTTCCTAACACATTACCCAGTCCATATCAGTATAGCTACGCAGATATTTTTCCCCATTGAGATCTGATGTGTTTACAAAGTGTTCCTTTAATTTTTTTGGGTGTAGGATTGATTAGAACTTTTTTTTTTTTTTTTTTTTTAACTATGGTTGAACTGGATGGACTTTTGTCGTTTTTCAGCCAGACTAACTATGTAACTATATGTAATATTAATTCAAAAAGTACATTTTATTTCTTTCAGCCTCCTCAAAATCTCCAAATTCCTTTAATTTGCTGCTGTGAGCTGACTTCCTATTACAGGGTGGCTATGTTCTATGTGATTCCACTGTATTTAAGAACATAGCCACGCTCTCTTGCTCACTCTGGAGATGGGCTATGGACTATGTGATTTGTAGTGTGCACACAGCAGTGCACATTACTGCAATTAGTGAGCACAGCTTATTCCAAAAAAAACAGAAGAGAAGCAGAAAAGGAGAGGTTCAGGAGCTCACGGAGAAGTTTTAAGGAAAACACTGTAAAAAAACCAAACATTTAATTGCATGAAAAATAGATTACAGAGCCTTTAAATTTGTGGATGTGAATGGATTATTTTTAAGAATTAAAGATATCGTTTAGTTTCACAAGGAATTTCTCTTCCTTTTCTAGGTCCACCCAAACTCCCCTCACTTTCTCCCATCAACTTTCAGAAGCAGCCCAACAAACTGTAGGCCTGATTTAAATTCTCAGCTTTTTTGTATCAATTGATAATTACAGGCTACTGACTTCTATGGGAACCGTTTCTAAACCGCACATGTGTGAACAGGATAAAATCATGACCTGAACCACTACTGTGTCAATCAGCTGTGAAGCCTGAGCTTCAATCCGATCTGCACATGTGTGAATCAGCTCTTAGGCTAAATTCACATGTGTGTGGGTGGTGCCTCTGTGGATCCGCACAAAAATCCGTGCAGCCGCACCACCCACATAGAAGAATGCGGACACGAGGGCGGGTGCCAATAATTCTAATGGCACACCACCCGCACTGGAAATCGCAACCGTACTGGGAACATAGGTTCCTGTGCGGACTGCGTTTTACGAAGTAGTGCAGGGACTTCTTCCCTGCATGTCACGGGGCACGGGAGTCCATTCAAATGAATGGGCTCTCGTGCCCACGCAAAACGCGGACCGCAGGAACACGGACATGTGAACCAGGGGTTATGCTGAATCAGCATTTCATGATTTCTGAAGGAATACATAATTGACATAAAGGTTGTTTTGTGGACTTTTTAATTGTTTATTATCCAATGTGTCAAATCTGTGAGGTTGACATTACTGTTGCTAAGAGTTGATTATGAACACTTTTCAGATCCTAATATTTGACATGAGACACAGGCGTATATAAAAGACACAATGAAAGTGGATTGAGCAGTGAACACAAAAGGGCTCAGACAGCAGGAACAGTACTGGAAGAAAATGGACTTGCACTAACTCACCTTTACCAATTTTTGCATCTCCTGCTTTAGCCTATTCAGGTCCTGCAAATACATCATCAGCTTTCTGCACTGCAGTGCTGGAGGCGACATTGCTTCTCATAGTGACACCATCCCTCTGCAAAAAGCTACAATAGAAGACATCGGCATTACTAGGTAAAAAGAACACATTTGTAAGGAACTAAAAGAGAAAATGTATAATGCACTGTATTATATAAGGTGTAAGGAAAGGAATTTGCTCGATTCCCTCATCCTCCTGCAGCGGTATTGTGTTCTGCTGGTAGGGAACCTTGCCTACAGCAGGAAACGATCACTGCTAGTGACTATACCTGTCAGCAGTAAATTACATGCAAAAAAATAGGAAAGATCGATGGATCAACTTCTGTACAACCAGCCTGCCCATAGATGGATCGAATCTTGGCAGGTCCCTGCTGAACTGGTCAAAATTTGATCTATCTATGGCTAGTTTTAGGGCAGAACTTCAGGCAGAAATAACAAGATAAAAATGAATAGCCCAAACCATCTTCTGCTGTAATACCCACCTTTACTTAAAAATTTTTCCCAGCTGAACGTATTTCTGCCGCTAGATGTTCTCATTCATACGAAGCACAGTCAAACATACTGAACTTTTAACAATTGCCTGTGGTTGATATGATGATGGGATTCTTTATATCTTTATACAGATTATAGATGCAGTATAAATACATACAGACACACTGATCAGCCATAACAATTTGACAACCCACCATAACAAGACCACCTAACTAATATTGAAAAGGTCTTCCCTTTGCCACCAAAACAGCCCTGACCCGTTGAGGCACCGAATACACTATACCCCTGCATTGGCATCTGGCACTAAGCCGTCAGTAGCAGATCCTTTAAGCCCAGTAAGTTGCGAGGTGGGGCCTCCATGGATTGAACTTGTTTTTCCAACACATCTCACAGATGTTCCTAATTGGATTGAAATCTGGAGAATTTCAAGGCCAATTCAACACCTCAAAAGACACCTTCTTCCACTGTTCCGTGGTTCAGTTCTGATGATCACGTGCAGGACTACATTGGCTGTGGACAGTATGGGTCAGTATAAGAATCCTGTCCACTTTGCTGTTGTGGCCCCATATGCAACAAACTATAATGCACTGTGTGTCCTAACACCTATCTTTTTCAGCAACTTTTTCAGCAATCTGAGCTATAGTAGCTCTTCTATTGGATCAGACTCACAATTGATATGGTCCAGAATTATTTAGAAAGAATAACAGTGAATAAAGCACCTGGACCGGATGGCATACACCCACGGGTCCTTAAAGAATTGAGCTCTGTCATTTCAAAGCCATTGTTTCTAATTTTTAGGGGCTCAATGACCGGCATAGTACCACTGGATTGTTGTAAGGCCAATGTGGTGCCTATATTTAAAAAGAGGTCAAAATCATTACCAAGTAATTATAGACCTGTTAGTTTAACTTCTATAGTTGGGAAGATACTGGAGAGTTTAATAAAAGACCACATAGATGAGTTCTTGCTGGAAAAAATATTTTAAGCAACAGACAGAATGGATTCATGAAAGACAGAAGTTGTCAAACAAATCCGATTTCTTTTATGAGGAGGTGAGCAAAACTTTGGACAGAGGAGTGGCGGTGGATGTGGTATACTTGGATTTTGCAAAAGCATTTGACACAGTTCCCACACACGGCTAATGTGTAAGGTAAAGTCTACAGGCTTGGAAAAATCTGTATGTAAATGGTTAGAAAACTGGCTAAAAGCTCATATTCAGAGAGTAGTGGTTAATGATTCATACTCGGAATGGTCTAGGGTTGTCAGTGGTGTACCCCATAGTTCAGTGTTGGGACCCTTACTTTTTAATATATTTATAAACAATATAGGGTCTGAGATTAAAAATCCCATTTAAGTCTTTGCAGATGACACCAAGCTGTGCAGTGGAATAACGTCCTTACAGGATGTCTCCAACTTACAAGCCGACCTCAATGCACTGTGTAATTGGGCAACTATGTGGCAAATGAGGTTTAATGTTGATAAATGTAAGGTTATGCACTTGGGGACTAAGAATATGCATGCATCATACATACTAGGGGGGTACAACTGGGGGAATCAATGGTGGAGAAGGATCTGGGAGTTCTGGTAGATCACAAGCTTAATATTGGCATGCAATGCCAAGCTGCGGTTTCCAAAGCGAGCAAAATGCTCTCTTGTATTAAAAGAGGTATAGACTCCAGAGAGAGAGATATCATATTACCCCGGTACAAATCATTAGTAAGACCTCATCTGGAATATGCAGTTCAAGTTTGGGCACCAATTCACAAAAAGAACATTGGGGAACTGGGGAAAGTACAGAGAAGGGTAACCAAACTGATAAGAGGCATGGAGGAGATCCGCTATGAGGAAAGATTAGAGGAACTGAATGCATTCTCTCCTGAGAAAAGTAGATTAGGTGGGGATATGATCAACATATATAAATACATCAGTGGTTCATATAGTGAACTCGGTGTAGAATTATTCACCTTGGGGTCATCATAAAGGACAAGGGGGCACTCTTTACATCTGGAGGAAAAGAAATTTAATCTCCAAACATGGAAAAGTTTCTTCACAGTAAGAGCTGTGAAAATGTGAAATAGACTGGTTCTGGCCAGCTTAGTGTATTGCTTTAAAAAAAGTCCTGGATTCTTTCTTAGATACACAGAATATAACTGGTTACTAACATTTATAGGTAACGTTGATCCACGGAATATCAGATTGCCTCTCGGGGGATTAGGAAGGAATGTTTTCCCTTGCAGGAGCAAATTGGATCATGCTTTGCTGGGTTTTTTGCCTTCCTCTGGATCAACTGTAGGTATAGGATTATAACTTTTTTTTTTTTTTGATGGCTGAACTGGATGGACTTTTGTCTTTTTTCAGACCCCCAGATGGTTCAATTGGCTGCTCCATAAGCATCTTCACAACCACACATAGGGACGCAGATCCGAAACACAAACACAGAATAAATAGTAATATATATGTATATACATATATAGATATATATATATTTTTTAATTTATTTTCTATAGAAGAACTTCTGATGTTTATATGCATATATATTTTTTTTTGTCTTGCTAGAATTCAATCCTTTGCATACCTTCTGCAATCACATGGACGCTTGAGTTCTTGATCTAACACATATATATTTCCATCTCAAAGAGTGATATTGGTATTATAGTTCCAAAGAGCAAGCAGGGGGTTCATATATATCTGGACAATTAGCGTGCTGGAAGTATAAATTTATGCACTGCAGTGTTATATATATTGTAAAGTAATTTGGGTATTTTTTTATTAATGTCATTTTTTTTTATAATTTTAGACTGTATTGCGGTTATCATTTTTTCTTTCCTGAAGAAGTCCAGGCTGGGCGAAACATTTCAGGAAGTATCATCTGTACACCGCAGTAAACAGTGAAGCGTTCTGGGATAAAGACATTTTTCGAATTATTGTTGTGCACCTTTAAAATCCCACAACTTACCCTTATCTGTATGTATTTATATAGGGATGTGGTGCAAAATGGTGACTATCAACCACTCGTCATATTTCTAATTTTCTAACCAAAATCCAGAAAAAACATGATACAAATGTTATAAATTGAGTTGCAGTTCATTGAGTAAAATATGTATTTAATCCCCTGCCAACCAACAATAACTTGAGCTCCCACAGACTGGCTATGTGCTCATGTGGTACACAGATTAGTCCTGTCAATTTAAGAAGGTGCTCCTAACAACAGCACATTATGTGTTTAAAAGACGTCTTGTCCACAGAGTCTCTTTCTTCCATTCAAACCTCACCACCATGGACAAGAGCTGTCAAAGGATGTCAGGGACAAGATTGTAGACCTGCACAAGGCTGGAATGGGCTACAAGAAGCTTGATGAGAAGGAGACAACTGTTGGAGTGATTATTCTCAAATGGAAGAGATACATAAATTGCCCACGGTCTGGAGCTCCAAGCAAGATTTCGCTTAATGGGGTGAGGATGATCATAAGAAATGTGAGGGATCAGCCTAGAACTACACTGTAGGAACTTGTGAATGATCTCAAGGCAGTTGGGCCACAGTCACCAAACAAACCACTGGTAACACAATACGCTGCCATGGTTTGAAATCCTGCAGCGCCCGCAAGGTCCCCCTCCTCAAGAAGGCACATGTACAGGCCCATCTGAAGTTTGCCACTGAACATCTAAATGATTCAGAAAAGGATTGTGAGAAAGTGCTGTGGTCATATGAGACCATAATTGAGCTCTTTGGCATTAACTAGACTCGCCATGTGTGGAGGAAGAAAAAAGGCTGACTATGACACTAAGAATACCATCTCCACAGTCAAGTACGGAAGTGGAAACATACTTTGAGGCTGTTTCTCTGCTAAAAGGTACAGGCCAACTTTGCTGCATTGAGGGGCCAATGGACAGGGCCACGTAATGTAAAATCTTGGACATGAGAACCTTCTTCACTCAGCCAGAACATTGAAGATGGGTTGTGGATGGGTCTTCCAGCATGACAATGACCCAAAACATACCGCCAAGACAACAAAGGAGTGGCTCAAGAAGAAGCACATTAAGGTCATGGAGTGGCCTAGCTAGTCTACAGACCTTAATCCTATAGAAAATTTATGTAGGGAGCTAAAAAAAACTTCAAGTTGCCAAGCGACAGCCAAGAAACCTTAAAGATTTAGAGAAAATCTGTAAAGAAGAGTGGACCAAAATCCCTCCTGAGAAGTGTGCAAACCTGGTAACCAACTACAAGAAATGTCTTACCTCTGTGCTTGCCAACAAGGGTTTATAAGTCCTAAGTCATGTTTTGCTTGGTGATTAAATACTTATTTTACTCACTGGACTGCAACTCAATTTATAACATTTGTATCGTGGTTTTTCCTGGATTTTTGGTTGATATTCTACCTCTATCATTTAAAATACACATGATACAAATTATAGACCCTCATTTCTTTGTAAGTGGGAAAACTTACAAAATCTGCAGGGGATCAAATAATTATTTTCCCATCTATCTATCTATGTGCAAAGGTTTTAGGCAGGTGTGAAAAAACTGTAAATTAAGATGTCTGGATGTAGGCTGCCTCAGATACTTCTGTCTCTTCATG